CGTCGTTCGTCTCGTCTCTCGTCTCTCTCTCTCTCTCTCTCTCTCTCTCTCTCTCTCTCTCTCTCTCTCTCCCCCCTCCCTCCCCCCTCTCTCTCAAAATAATAAGAATGATAATTTAATACCTAAAAGTACTAATTAATGAACAAACATGAACCCGATTAACAAATATCTCGTGACCGGTGCAATTTTCGTCTACTGCGTTTTTACTTTAATCCAACGCATCTGTCTATCGGATATCGAAACCTTGAAAGGCAGATGGTGTTGGAGCAAAACGTGATCACGTAGCAGGTGTATAGTTGCTGAACGCGTGCGACAGGTGAACAGGGGACGGCTTTAATTCCCGCATGCGCTCAAAATTACTTCCGATCTTGTGAAACTACGCAATTCGAAACCTAACGAAAAGAAAAATTAACATTATAAAAAAGTATAAAATGTCGTATAGTCAACTTTTAATTCGTATATAATAGTTGCCAGATTGTTGAGAGGTGCAGTCAAATTTCAATAATTAGTATTACTTTTCATACATTTTTCTGATACTTTGAATTCTCATGATATAAATATACTCGAGATATTTTAATCTATATTCTTTATTTTATTCTTGATAAAAATTACTTTTTTTACAACTTTTATTTACAACTTATATTATAACTTTTCAAACATATTTTTAAACATATTTCGAAATCGATTCTTTTTTCAATGTGGATATTACACGTTTACAATTGTCAATTCCGTACAATTTATTATAAACTAAAGAATACCAATATTTGCATTATTCATTATTTGTTTGAAATAATAATGATATTAAGATATAAAAAAAAATTAAAAACGAAAATAATATAATTTAAAATTAGCACACACACAAATAATACTTAATTAAAAATTAAAGAAGAAAATGTAACGGTTATTAATATAATATAAATGTATTGCTTTTAACAAGTACATTGTATCTGTCAGTGCCTGTAGTTTTCGATTTGTCTTTTGTAATTAAATTTTTGTTCTTCTATTTTTTTTTAACAGCTTGAATTAATTGTTGCCAGATTTTTTTTTACAAAATTAAGTACTTAAAACAGATTTTGATAATGTAAAAAATTTATTTACACTACAGTTTACGATATTACAATTTGCTATATTCAGCGTAATTCGGATCAGATATATCACGTATGTAACAAATTAGATATAAATAAGTTAAATATGAAGAAGTCCAAAAACTTGACCCAGAGATAATTAAACATTAGTGCTATAAATATTTTGATCATATTTGCTGTAATATATTTTTCTAATAAAAAATTTATTTTATTTTTTATTTCTTTAGTCTATGTTAAATAATACAAAATAATATTTAATTAGAAATTATTCTGCAAAATTTCAAGATATGACATTCCGTTTTTAATGACTCACCTACATATATATTAATTTCATGTGTCAAATAAAATACTATTAGCAATTAGCAATTTTATAAGAACAACGTAGTTAACATTGCTTCAAACTGTGAACACCAAAAATATATGAACGAAACCACGATCTTACTGTTTCGAGAAGTCACTACATACTAACAAGTATATTGGTAGCTGATACAATATACACGTCATATAAACAAATGCTGAGAGATCACTCAACAAGAAGGCGTTAATCTTATTTGAATGAAATCAAATAAATATTAGTTCAGTAACAATAGTGCACAGTTAGATTAAACAATATTTAAATATTAAAAATTATTAATTTATAAGCAATATTAATTTAAATAATTGTATTCCATTGAATCAAATGTTTGACTATTTTATTTTTTTTTTATAAGTGCGTAGATCCGTAGAACCCGTAGTTAATGATTTTTTCTGCGTGTTCATTTATGCGTGTTCTTATTTTTTCTCTAACATATCTAAACAATGTCTTATTTTCCTTTTCTTCCAGTTTATTTTTCACAAATATATGTACCTAAAACAAATTATTCCGACAATATTATTCAATATAAATTTTTATTGTGCTACAGTTTAACAAATCACAATTTGCTGTGTTTAGTGTAATTGAGATATGTCACATACATATGTAACGTATTAGATATAAATAGCTTAATATTCAATCAAATGTATTATTTGCAATTTAGAAAATATACCTTTTCCAATTGAAATACATCATGTATATGCGTAATAAGAACAATTAACGTGGCAATTGTGCTAACTTTTCTATAAAAAGAGAACAATAAATTTAATAAAGATAACAAATTTTCATAATTAAAAGAATATATTATAAAGGAAAATGTCATTACTTGGGTTTTATGTTTTCAAACTGTTCCAAAATATACTTAAACGCTATATTGTTACTTGCATGCCTCGCAATCATAAGAAGAAATACATTAGCATGCTTATTAACTTGTACATGCCTAAAAAATGTTTTTGTCTTTATGTGTGACCAATATTGAACAAAGATTTGAGAATTTCTAAAGCAAATAAAAAATTCTAAAATTCCATTATCTGCTGGTAGCCATTCATTCCACTTCTTTTCCCAAGTGTAATTCTCGTATAGAAAACCTTTACAATATGTCCATTGGTTCCATGCCAAAGGACTATGATACCAAAAAATAAGAAATATTTCTTACTGTATTTCAGTTTACATTTTATATTTTAAAGATAAAATAATTTATTAAACAAAAATAAAAGTTTGATTATATAAATATATTGTAATTCTAAAATAACTTACGAATATTTTTTTGTATCTGCAAAATGCTTTGTTAGTTCCGAATTAGATATATTTATACATTTGGGGACACGGAAAATACATGCCCACTTTATGGCTTCTTCTCTCAAACATTCAGTAAAATCGTGGTCCGAATTTTCTTCTATGTTTTGCAAAAGTCCATTTAATAGAATTTTTGTTTGTTCCTAAAAATTATTACATAATACATGTTTTATGTTCATTGTTACTTGTGAAAAGTACGCATCCATCAAACATATACACATCTTCTCTTAAACTTTTTTTTGCAATAATTGAAATAATAACTTTCTTTTATAGAACTAACTCGATACTTACTGTTACCTGTGGCATATTAGAAAATGGAAAGATACATGTCATGTATTCAAGAGCTTTAATCATAGGATGCCATGCTATATAACTTGTATCTCGTGATAGAAAGCTTACAATCTCCCAAAACGTGACAAAATCGAGCTGTTTTTTCATCAAAAAGTAAAACGCATCATCTACGATTTGAGCCCGATTGATAACATGTATTTCGACATAATTATCAGAGTTTAAGTAGCGTGCAAGTTTAAGCCAGTTCTCAGTATCATAGTTAACACGATAATATCCTATTGAATATATATAAACAGAAAAATAATATTCTTGTTATTATTATTAGAGTCTCTTGATTAAAGTTGGCAAGAAATACATTCTAATTCTAATTTTTTTAAAGCATTTCCGCAAATTGTTTACTTTTAATCAAATTATTTTAAAGAATTTATATAAAACATACTTATTGCAAATTATTGATTGCAAAATGTCTTTAAAATAATTACTAACTTTAAAGATTTAAACCGTAAAAAAATTTTGCAACAACTTTCAGTAATTGTGGGTAAATATACACCAGTCAAAAATTTTTGAAAGAATACAACTGAATATGTAATTCAAAGTCGCGTAAGTCAGCTAAAAATATTATAGAATAAGGAGTAAAATATATATATATATATATATATATATATATAGTAGTAGATAAGAAATCGTAATTTTTGCCACTTGTCATGAATTTTTTGAAAAAACTATTATCAAGCTGCAGAATGTTGAAGATACGTAATTTTAAGGAACAAAACAATACGTATTTTTTCGAGTCTTTTTTCAAAATAAAAAATTTTTTTTCAATAGCTTTAAGCATGTAAAAGTACAAACTTTAAGCTTTAAAACGCTTTTTTAATTTTTGGTCTGCGATGATTTCTCGCTGAGTTACAGCGGTTTAAAGATTGATTAATTTTTTCAAAAAAGAAGCAACATTTTTCAGACGCTTAAAATTACAGTTTTCAAACCACTATAACTCGACAAAAAATAATCTTAATTTAAAAATCAAAACAGCATTTTAAAACTTGAAGTTTGTACTTTTACATGTTTTTTAAATTATTTGTGGTATTTCTTATTATCTATACATATACTTTGTCCAAAAACTTTTGACTGGCAGTGTATAATAATATATAATCATCACTCTTGAATAATATTTAAAAATTTTCAAGACAACTAAAAAATACATATTTAATAATATAAAAATTAAACTATATGAGAAGAAAAAATGAGACTATATGAGAAAAAGCATAATATATTTATCGATTAATATTTACCAATTTGTTTTATATTCACTAATACCCAATCGTTGCTGTTAATATTCTTAACTGTATAATTGTGATTAGGGAAATTTAACCAAAACAAATAATTGATATTTCTAATAAGCGACTGCGTCGTATAAGTCACAGATATCCAATCTTCTGTCGTATCATCATGATATAATTTATTAGAAATAGATTTGACGTAGCTTATCAGCATCGTGGAATCCTTATAATTTCGTGTTACATTGAGCAAGGGATAATAGTTTTTCCTTGTCCAACTATCCATTACTTTTTTTATATCAAATTTGTATGTATTAGTTGTTACATTTAGAACAGCTTGCATAGTAGTCCATAAATCATCTGAGATTGTGTTTGAATAATTATATCTAATATATTGAAAGATGTTTAAAAGTAAACACTAGAATCATTTTTATGAATAAAAATAAAATTTTACTATTTAATTTATATGAATATTAATTTATATCAACATTATTGCATAAAGTGTTATATATAAAATATATATTTTAGTCTAAGAAGTAGGTTCTTTTTATCTTGTTTTATATTCACACAAGTCAAAATAAAATGTTTCTTATTGTTAGCAAAATTGTCTCTCAATCAATCGCGACATATTACTTACTTATTTTCAAAGTTATGTCATTAATCTTTAACTTCTAAATTTATTAATGTAAGCAAAATGTTTTAAATTTAAAAAAACAAGATTCTTTTATTTATACATGATCTTCTAAATCTTAGATTTTCAAAAACTATCAAAATTTTATTACTTAAATTTTAGAAATTGATTATATCGTTTTTTGAATTTACATTCGTGGAACATATGTATGCTGTAATTTCAAAAATAATTTATATATCCCAGTAAATATTAATTAACAATAACATAACATCAATATATAACATGTTATAAATTCTACTCAACAACGTTACTGCAATGTAACACATGTCTTGTACATCACTATTATATTGTTGAGTGAGAGATTATAACGTTGATGTTATGTTATTACTGGTTAGTGTGTTTGGGATGTTTTTGAAAAATCTACGGATAAAATGTACCTTGCAAGCAAATGTAAAATGCAGAGACCACAGTTTAAAACAGTTTACATCTCTTTAGTAATAAAATACAAATAATGTTATTTTTATATATATGTAGTTTTTTACATATGATTGTTGTATTATGTTATGATATTATTACTCACTGCGTTCGTGCATATGTGTCGATACACGTCCAAAACACATTATGAGGAATTAAACCTTGTAACATGCGCCATAACGCGAATACTGTAACAATTAAAATTATAATGTTTTATTAAATAATTAAAACTATATATCATATTGATATTATATTGATTATAATTTTTATATAAAAATAAATAATAGTTATATCTCTTTGCAGTTAAATTTTATTAAATTGTCGTGCAACATTAACGAATTTATGAACTCTTATCAATGCGTTTTTATTTATATTTATTTGAATTATAAAAAATATTTTGTTTATATTTTCTTAATATTTACTGTTAATATAATGAAAAAACAAATAAAAATTTTCTTACAATTTTTTGTAATATTTGCAAATTTACACACAGTTCTCAATAATTTTTTATTATATTTATTTTAATGATACATAGTTTTCTTGTTATAGTTACTTAAACTTACATTTCATATAATGTAGCTCTATGGATACTTTATTAGACCTTCTAGAGACTCCTCGAGACTTGAGGTGTTTACGAGTTTTACGAATTTTAAGGATACGTTTAACTTTGCTCAATGTTTTCGATTTTTTAGCAAAAGAAGTGTCATAACGTAATGATTCTTGTTGTATTTGAACAACACAGAGATCCATTACTCTTTCACGCTTAACATATTTCAATTCAACCTGAAAAGTTTTATGTGACATAATAGATATTTAGTATAATTCAGTAATGTGAGAAAATTATATTCGCATTAGTAACATCTATTCAACACGCAGCTGATTACTACGAATAACCATTTTGGTTGTTTTTTTTTATCATAAAGTCAAAAAATGTAGTAAATCAATAGTATAAATATAATAAAACCTCATCCAAGAGATGTGCTCCATAAAATGTAGTAAAACTGTTATGTGACCAAAGAAATACATCGCCATACCAAAGAGATGTTATTTGCTTCGCTATTAAGAGTCCCACATTTATTTTACGCATAAAGGGATACAAACTTTTATTGTAAATAATATCTGTTACTCTAAAAATTATTTTCAAGCAATAGGATTACATTGAAAATTTTTGCTGTAATAATGCAGACTAATAAGTTTATTAAAAAAGGAGAAGAAAAAGAACTTGACACGTATTTACATCAATTATAAAATGTATAAAAGCATAATAAGTGAAAGAAAATTTTAATGAGTTCTCTCATAGCATCGATGCAATAAAACAAGTTCTGTAGCGATTGCTTCATGTATAGCGTAAGTTATTTTCTACGATTTTGATATCAAAAATTAAATGAAAACTAAGTGAAAATGAGGGAGAAGCTAATTATTTTAATTCTTTATTTAAAATAACGGTGGGAATATTTTTTTAGTGTGTAATACAAGTAACATTGTATAAATTTTGATTGCTATTCATTTAACATTTAACAAACATATTGGCAAACGTTCAAAGATATGTTTATCTATTAATTTTAAAATATCATTAATAATGTTATTTTCTTATTTTGATTTTAATTATTCTTTTAATAATAGATATTACCTATGCGAAACGAGTTCTCGTGTTTTTATTTCATCGTCTTCAGGTTTCCATACTTTCTTCTTTAGGACTCCGTCAATGTATTGAGTTTCTTTTTGTATATTACGATAGTTTTTGTCGTCAAATTTTGTATACGTAATTCCTGTTGCCGTTCCATACGTAATTGTAACGTAATTCAGTTTTTTTATATTTATATTTCCTGTTGTGCGAAAATACTGCAATATAGAAGAAGCAATAGATTTTGCATACTGCACATTTTCTATTTCCGTTTTTCTGCACCAAAATACGACATTCGAATGCAAATCAAAAAGTGGAACAAGTTTGGTTATTATTATCTTGATGTCGTCAATTGACATTAAAGGTGTCTCATTATAATGTATCCATTGCATATCATGGTCATCTTCTGCTGTATTATTGTTTTGTATTGGCATATTCGATAAAACTTTGTAAATTGAAGGATACTTAATGCTAATGTTAAAAGTTGCTATACAAGCACGGTTCACGCACGGTAATATATTTCGGCCTTTTATTATTTCGAATTTTCTTGCATTCAACCTATAATATTACGTATTAACAATATAGCAAATGGTTTTGATAAAAATAAGTTATTAATTACAGATTTTTTAAAGCAAGATTTGAAAGACATAAAAATAGTGCGAGATTTCAGGGTTCTATGGTTACATAGGCGCATGCTTCGGCATTGGAAACGGCAACGCCAAATGCATATAGAGAAAAAATGTGTAAAACAAAGCATGAAAAATACAAATCATATTTAAAAAAAGATATTAATTGCTTAAACACAGATAAAATCAATGTGACAGAGTTTCAAATCAATAATTTGCATACATTCGACTTCTTGAAGATTTTATAGTAATTTGTGATTCTATAAGTATACGCGCGCGATATATATGTCGAATGCAATGATTTGAAATATCTTCTACATCTAAATCGATAAATTTTGTGCACAGTATGAAATATACTTAAGTATAGTTGTCTAAATTTTATCTGTTTTATGTAATTTACAGTTTTTGACATATCATGAGAGCGATGAATGTAACGAATATTTTATTTTTGCGAACAATAATAACGAATAATACTTATAATATAATGATGTATTTTTAATATTTTTTACTTACACTTTGTCTCCCGTTTCGTCTAGATATATAGAGCCTAAAGGAGATAAATTCTGTGTGCTATCAATTATGTTACGGCTGTATATGATTTTTAATTCGTATTCTCCAGGTATTAAGTATTTCGTAAAATCAAGCTGTAAAATGTCCTCAGCGAGATATGAATAAGATAGTATAAAAGTCTGATTGCGAACATTATCAACATTATCAACATTATCTATTTGCTTTAAGCCAGTCAAAAAGATATGCAATATAGAACATGGACTCTTTAAGTTTATAATTATTCCTTTCGTGGAATTGTTTATTTGGATAAAAATACTGCAATCGCCTATTAAGATATTTTCCTCGTAGAAAAATTGAACATTACAATCGTAATACAATGCAGACAGATCATCAATTTGTTCACCATTTTTTGTATTGCTGGCTGTAGAAAGAGTTAATATAGTAATTAACACCAATCCACCATTGAATAAGACTTGTCTGAATGCCATACTAATTTGCGTATCTGTAAAAAAATTTTTTTGTTAGGGAAAATACTTACATATATGCAACACATTTATTTTTATATAATCAAAAAAAGCAAATTTAATAGCAATTGCAACGATTCGTATTAAGATATAGAATTGTCGGCAAAAAAACATAAAAAGAATGACGAATTATTTTTAATAATTTAAAAAAAAATATTGTACATGTAAAATTATATAGATTTTTGTTAAAAACATAACTAATTTAAAAATATTTTTTTATATGAAAAATTGAATATAGTATTATTTCAAAATGTAAACATGATAAATGCCATTTGGATTATATTGAGAGACAGAAACTGTTCAAATAATTCTAGAAACGTCTAATATAAACGTTTAATCTATTTATGATATTTATTTGATTAATTTTTACATCAAAACAGTTGATCATATATCATTAAATGTATTAATTTATTCGGCAAAAAATAAAAAGAAATATTAAGCATATCTCTATAACTTTGAAAAAAAAAAAATTTTTTTTAAAGAATAAAGCTACATGTATTTGTAAAGCTTTAAAAGAAATATTCCATTTTTAATTACTTACCTACATATATATTAATTTTATATGTCAAATAAAAAACAAGACTGTGACAATTAGCAATTTTGTAGGAAAAACGTAGTTTTAATATTGCTTCAAACTGTCAATCACAAAGATGTATAAACGAAACCGCGATCTTACTGCTTCGAGAAATCATTGAATACTAACAAGCATATTGATAGCTGATATGATATACACATTATTTCATATAAATAGATGCTAAGAGGTCACTCAACTTATGTGCAAGCAAAAGCAACGAACTCACTTGAATGAAATCAAATAAATTAATGCACAGTTCGATTGAACAATATTTAAATACTGTCGATTACATTTTCGCGATATAAACAGAAAATAGTTCAGATACTTTTTTGAGAATAATTTAAATATCACGTTGCATGCACAGCATATTTCTGTAAACTTACTTTGATTTCGATCGAAAACTGTCTTACGTCAAACGTTGCAATTCTATCTGATTTCACTGAAACTACGCTTTGCAACCTGTCATCGCGGAAACATTTATGTGATTAATATTGATAACACGCTCGCGCGAGAATAGCCGAATATCATCTGAGTGTAAATAGAATGTTAATAATTTATTTGGACGTGGAGGAAAAACGCGCGCGGAATACGCGATCGATCGAGTATGTCCCTGTATCTATTGTTCGTCTCGTACGTGTGTTTGATAGGAATCCTTTCTTATGCTTCTCGCGCGGTTTCATCGGTTTTTCTCAGGATGACGCGAGAGTCTCAAGCCGTGGCACTTCTCTCCCGTAAATAAGAGACAGCGCGGTGGGAGAGAACGATGAATAATTTCGCCGGATGAATACTAACAGCCGTACGTCAACTTCTGCGATCGGTATCGTATACTTTCTGCGCAGAAATTCATGATAAGAATACCTTTCTGAAAATACTTTATAATAAAACTACGAGCGACAGAGATCACGCGGGTAAACAGGATTGCAGAGTCGCAATTTTCCAATCCGCGTGCGAAAACTAATTAAGCGATTTTTCCAGAAGGCTCTTGCCGCCCAAAACTATCGATTGAATCATTATATACGTCATAAAATTATTCTGAAAGGGTAATTATCCTTAAAACAAATCCTAGCTTCTTCAAGCTTTTCCCACCCAAACTAATTTCGAAGGAACCAGTTAATTTTGTTGACTTTGAACGGCAATAGAAGCATATCGATTGATAACGTATCACATGTCACAATAAAAAATAAATTTTGATATCCGCAGAATCTCTATTTTTTATTCATCCTTGCTATTTTCTTGAACGCCAAATAATTGTAAACATTTTTTTTATTGTGATGCAAAATTATCTCAGCAATCAAACACCATCTGAAACACACTGTAAATTTACTTCGATTTTGATCAAAACGATTTTATGTCAAACGTTGCAATTCTGTCGCCAGTAAACACAACATCGAAATCTGGTCTCATCGAAAATTGCATTTTTAAGTAACTTTGATAATTCGAATTCTGTCGCATATCTTTAGACGATTTCTGAAAACACTTATAATTGAATTATTTTAGAGAGATTCTGTAATGTTCTCCCCATCGCATTTTTGCATCACTCGATGTCAAACCGTAAGGAATAAGGATCGATAACCCTTCTCATATATAAAGTATAGTATTTCGATGTCAGTTACAGGAAGTAACCTGATACAGTTGGCTTCTGAACACGTGCGGACGCTTAAGCGGAATAATATGTTCGAGGCGGCCGCCGACCGGATGGGATTCGCACGATTAAGCACCGGATCGGCAGCACCTTTAATGATATCGGTATGAAAGTCGATTGAATTGATTCCATAAATTATGTATCGATGAATAAATGTAATGTGTTTTTTTCAATATGATTCAATAATTCATTAGTAAAAGATTTAAAAATGTTCAGAAATAATTTTCTAATTAGATAAAAAGTAATTAAAAATAAAATTGGATAAAATTGAATACAAAAAAAATTTTATTTGCACGACTGTTCACGTAAATTTTAAAATAAGCAAAATTTTGCGTAGCAGCGCTTTATTGGAAGGGCGAGGGCTGACATGAGAATCGCTGGAGAACAGAAGGGCGCGTTCGCGTCAAGGGTTCCCATTTACCGCAGTTCGTTCTACAGCCCCTCGTTTCTTTCTGGAAGAGAAGTACGCCACCGCCACGCATCGTCATCGATGTGCATGAGTCTCCGGTTACAAAAAGAAGAAAAAAGGGAGGGACGCTTCCGCAGGAAGCCAGGGTCCTTCTTTGGCCCTCATCGAACGTTCTCGGCGAACGTGCAGACGAACCGACGAGCTGAATAATCGTAAGTGCAAATTGTATGTGCAATTATCGCGTTCGGAGAATTCGAGTGAACTCGCTTGCAAAGCCGTAAAAATCCGAAATTAGGAAATAAGGATGCAACACAAAAATTAAGCAATACATATAAAAAATTATAATTAGTCACAAAAATTCTTTTTTTTCTCGAATTAAATTAGAAATTGCCATTAAATTACGTCTGACTTATCTCGCTTTTAATTCTGCATCATTTTTATATATTAAATAAGATAGAATTACAGTAAAAGAGAATTTTTATTTTGTTATAAACGCAAAAATTCCTGCGTAGATTTCTTGCATTATTTTATGCCACAATAAGAAAGATATGTTAAAAAAAGCAGGATTTGTGCTATACGATTTAGTAGCTGATGGACGAACGCGGCTAGCAAGTCAATACGTTCCTGCGTGCATCGGGGCCCTGTGTTGGAGAAGAAAGGGGACTGGAGTCGGGTATGTAAGCAGCTGCTCTTCGGGGGCAGCGGCAGCGGAGTGTTTAAATTAGTCCCGGCACAACTGTCGTGCGTGCAGCATGTACGTGAGATCATTCTCGGGTTCGGCGTGCTGAAAATAGAATTAACGAAAAATCGGTGAAAGAAACTAACATTTAACGTATCTCGCGTGATTCTAATTTTTATTGAACATGTTCAGTTTAATGTAGATTCCAAATATTCGCTTCTCGATAAGACAAAATCGATCAAAATCTCGTCGACGATGAAAAATCCTTTGTGAAAGTTGCGAGCGCGCGACGCTTGCATTTAACAAGTAAAAGTTTTAAGAAGATTATAGTTTAGTTGAAGTGATTGGAAGGGACGATAGTGATTTTTATTGCGCATTTCGGTATATTTATTTATAAAAAAAAAAATAAATATTTTGGACAAGTGACATGCGAACGACAGAGTTTGCTTAAACAATCGTATGAAGGATTAGGAAGCGAATGAAGATGCTGTTACTGAGAGTAACCGTGATATTGATCTCGTGCTGGATCGTCGTTTGTGATCTATTGGATCTCTACGTCCAGCACATGGACGAGACTATGAGGACAAAATGGTACAAAAAACATCCCATCGATTCTGTCTCCAGAAGGATAAAGAGAAGTTTTGGGTACGAAATGCCGCAATTTAAATTGCCGGAGGCCGAATTACTGAACGCCGAATTACATAAACCCATTGATAGCATTAAGATGCAACAAGATAAAAGATGCTGGTTGTTGGACGAGATAAGAGACGAACGGTTTCCAAAGGATGTAGAGCGCATCAATTCGAATAAACAAAAGGAAAATTCGGATTCCAAAGACGAACATGACAGGTCGACGAGCATCAGAGAAATTATGTCTATGTTAAAATCGAAGTCTATTGATGCTGACGACGAAATAGAGCCAACAATCTCGCAGAATCCAAAGGAGCATAAAAAAGATGAGATACATATGTCGCATCGTTATTCAGAATCAGAGGAAAATCGCGATAACAATGACAAACCTCTGGAAATCAATGAACGGAAGCCAGTTATAGTGGATAATTTAGGTCTTCTTTACAAAAGATCAAAGAAAAGTTTTGAATCGCGAAAGAAACAGTCGTTCGGAAGTAACAGTATCGATCAACAATCGTTTGATAATAGTTGGTTGAAGAAAAACGAAATTCGCAAGAACGACGTTTGGAAATATTTGTATGCACCGCTGAAGAATTTGGATCCGGAAGAAAAATTCGAGAATCCTTCACGCGTCGAGGAAACTAAATCGCCATTTATTGATAGTAAAGAAAGAACCAGAGTTCCTCAAACTCTGACGGCTAAGAAAGAAGAAGACGAGATTTATATGCCACATTATTTTCCGGAATCAGAGGAGAAACGCACTGACAAATTTATGGAAATCGAAGACTCAGAGGATGTCAACGAGATGGAAAACGATGAGGATTCGCTGTTCGAGATCATCAAAGAGAACGAGCGTCAATTCTCGTTCGACGAGCCGAGTTTGAAAAAGACGCCGAAGCCGTCTGAAACGCAAGTGCCGAAGAAATACTTACCAATGTCGGATAAACCGTTCAAGCCAACGGAAAATGCGAAGAGCATCGAAACGAAAAATGATAGACCGAAGAGGAGCGCGCCAAATTACAGACTCTCCAGATACGAGAAACTGGATGACGACGGGGACGTCGTTCTCGAGTGGGATCCCTTGGACGAGAAGGAAGTGACCTTCAGGGTCACCGGTAAAACCTTGGGCTACGTCGGCATCGGTTTCAACGATAAGAACAGCATGAAGGGCGCTGATATCCTGCTCACTTGGGTGGACGATCATACGGGCGTCGCCAACGCACTGGTAAGTCGATGATATTCTACCTGAATTCGTCCCGACGGTCGTTGATCAATAGAAAGATGACTGTATCTGCGCCAACCGGTCGATAGATCTTGTGATGTCCGAAAAAGACGGTCGAACTCGTCGAACAAAAACGTATCGGAGCTGCATAACTTTGATCTGCTCTGATTAAGCAGAATTGTATGTCTATATTATCGAGTCCTTGTGATTTATCGCGTATAATCTGTCGCATTAATAACATTTATTCGCAACTGATCCTATTAACAATAATTATTAATCAATAACATTAATCAGTAATTAACAACATTAATTCTCAATTATCGAAAGTTTCTAATTCAACATTCAGCATTGCTTTAATCAGCATCAATCTTTGTAACAAAGCTTTTCTATCGATAATTAATTTTTTTGGAATAATTGTTAGAATTATTTTGCAGTGAAATCAAACTGCTCGGTTTCGTAATTTCTGTAAAACGATTTTCCTTTCCGCGATTATTCACGCTGCATATTATTTTCACACGATCGCGACACAGTAAAGTTAGCGCGGTCGACGCACAAAAAAGCAATCTGTGTAGGCATGAGAACGCGAGCAAGGATTAATAAAGCAATCGTGATCTAACTAAACGGACTAATGGATCGCAGTCGTTGTCCAGCGTGGGAAGGACTCGTTTTCTTCTTATCGTCGCTTATCGATTGTGTATATGACGCGGCCGAACATGCTCGCTTTTTGTTCCGCGAGTCATCCTCGGCTACCAGCTCTTCCTGTGAGTCACATCGATAATTGAATCATAATCCGCTACAAGCATTATAAAAAATAGAATAAAACAGACGAAATATAAAATTGTTCCGAGATTGACAGCATTTTTTTGTAGGCAGCTGAATAATTAAAGAAATTTTTCACGCAAATAACTGTAATGAAATACTTTTAATTCAAAATTTGAAATACGTAAAAAGAACTTTAAAAATGTTCATATTAGATAACTGTTTTGGAGAAAGTTCTATCATTTTTAGCGACGGCTTATAAAATATAAAAAAATGCTCAAGTGAGTGAGAAAAAGCACGCAGAGACGAAGAAACGAGTTCTCCAGTTCGTTTTCGCGCCGAAGCAGCCCCTCGCGAGTTCCGAGACAGTTCGAAACCTGTCGGCACGGATCTCTCTCCAACGAGGAGAGCCGGCAAAAGGATCGCGGGGAGAGATGGTACAAAAAGGGGGCGACAACAAAGAAGAGGACGAGAGTGGAGAGAAAGACGAGGAGGAGGAGAAAGAGAAGAAGCACGACGAAGAGGCGAAACGGAGGAAACGAAAGGAGGAAAAAGGAGCTAAAGAAACGAAAAAGCCGGGGAATTAAAGGAAGATTAAGAAAGCGGTTGGAGCAGAAAGGGAGGTCGAGGCAGCAACTTGAAGGACCTGCGAGAGGTAGAAAGGGACGAGAGAAGGGAAAGGGAGAGAACAAAAGGAATATCTGGAATATCCCCGAAGCCGTGTCTCACTCTCTCTTTCTCTCTCTCTCTCTCTCTCTCTCTCCGGTCGAACGACGAAATCGCTTTCGAAAGAGAGACCCGTCGCTCGCGCTTATTAATGAGAAACGTCAATTAGCGCAATGTTGTGACCGATAAAGCCGTTTTCGTCCAATGCGCGCCAATCACGCCGGACTTTACATCCTTCTAAAAATTTCTATGACGGTGAAAAAAAATATTAATGCTCGTCAATCATGATATCGATCGAAAATAATGGCACATATTATTATTATAGTGTAGAATTAAAACTTTCGGTAGGCGGCACGAGACGTTTTAATTGCCGATCAGGTCAAACGATCAAGAAGCGAACCGGCCGGCAAGGACTAAACGACGGATCCAGAACCTGCTTCGGCTCTAAGGGCCACACGTTTCTCTCTCTCTTCTCTCTCTCTCTCTCTCTCTCTCTCTCTCTCTTTCTCTCTCTCTCCGAAATTTTAATCTTAATTAAATTTATATTCATTACGCGCCTGACGACGTACGGCCGGTGTCGCCACGCCAAGAATTCCTGTCAGCGCTGCCAGCGCGGCTTGTCCTTCTCAACGTGCGGAGTTTGAAAACGCGGAATTTACTCAGCGTCAACTTTTTGCGGCCGACTTCGACTTCGCCCTTCTTCTCCTTCGTCTTTCCGCCGCAAGACGAATTGATTCTATTTACCAGCGACTTATCGAGAATCGTTCAGATCGCAAGGCGACGAAAACCACACAAAAGTATTCCTTCCTGCGGAGTTAAATAGCGCCTCGCCTTCCGCCTTTCCGAAGATTAAAACGAGGGGTTTCGAGCTGCACCAGAGTCACGCGATACATATCGGACAAGTTCTAAATCTCTCTCTTTCTCTCTCCGAAGTAAAGTTCAACGCCGCCTTTCCATCCGTATTTTTGAGTCGATTTACTCGATTCTCCGTGTTGGCGCAACGAGAGGGTTGAAAAAAGAAGGATGAGAAGAAGGAACAACGAGGGAAGGCGAGTGAAGCAAGAGAGGAACCCGACCGGGATAAAATTAACGAACGTGGTTCCCCAACGGACGAGATAACGTCGTGATAAATTTACGTCCGACCTCTCGCCGCGCGATTCTTCGGCGTAAGCGATCGATCTACCCTCGTGCCCTTCTTACCTTGATGAATTGTTAAATCTGCCAGGCAAAGAGGATCGATTCTGAACCTGCGTAACTCATCAACGTGATACGGGTAATAATTCGTCAGCGCTGAAATGAATAGAAATGCGCGGAGAATTAAAATCGTGCTCTTCCTTGCGTGACAAACTTAATAACTTCTCGTAAATCGTATTGAAAACAACGATATTCAGGCAATTCGTGCCATTCTTTCCAGCAGACATGATTCCTAAAATTATTATACAACAACTTCCAAATTCTGAGGGTGTAATTAATCAGTTGCCTTTTTTCTCGCAAAAAAGCAGTTTATTCTCGAAACAAAGTGGTGCCTTTAATCGAAGGATCATAATCGCGCAGCGAGACTCCCCGTCGAGGCGACAATTTGTTCTCGTCGGTATCGCGCATACATACACGTCGTACACGACGCCTCATAACCGCGTTTGACAAATACCGCTGTACCTGTTGCATCGGCGAGAGATTATACGCACACGGATTCAGACGCCCCCGGCGGCTGGACGCGCCAGCGGCGAAGGATACACACTCGGTCTGTGGATATAAGGGCGCGTACGTGAATTTGCGTGGCCGAGAGTGGCCGTGTGTGAAGATCGTCAGCGAGGGGGCCGAGGTAGGGCCCCGCCGGGCATACCGGGCGCGGAGTTAGGTCCGAAGGGGCTCAGTCAAGGCCTCCAGACATCGTCGGCGGGGGGGCTGTGTGCGAATCTTCGAACTTCGCTGCGGAGAAGGACGGAAGAATAGTCCTGGGCCCTGATGAACGTGCCGGCGGTGTGTGTATCGTGATACGCGATATCCCTCGGGTATCCCGAAAGCCTCGAAAGCATCGCGGCCGCGATACCTGGGTCCCTTAATAGGCTCGGCCGATTAAAGGCGAATGCAAGGTGTGTGCGCTTGAATTAAAAATTTAATCAAGTAAAATCGAATTAATTTACATTAAATAAAATTTAAAAAATTGGATAATTCGTCATTGAATCCAATCAGATTGATTTGCAAAATGAGAATGGGTCCTTCGTGAGGATGAATCAACGTTCCTACCGATCGAGCAGGGTCAGCGAGAAGGCGCGAATCCGCGAAAGCCGAGGTAGTTGCGCGGGATAATTAATTAACCGCTATTAATTCACGGCGACGTGAACGGTAGTTTCGCCGGCGAGACCGGTGAATGGAGGACCTCATCGGCAGCCGGCGGCGAAGAGGCCACCACAGACGACCGTCGTCGTCCAGCGTGACCGACAGTGCGTGCACGTACACGACGATTACGATCGTAATTTATTACCACGCCGGGAAATACGAGTCGCTGCGCTCCGCGAGTGAATCTGAAATGCACGTAATCTGCGATCCGTTCATCCCTTTCGGTCCCAAGGGCCCGACGGATCCGTCCAGGATGGAACGAACGGACAGACGGACAGTCCGAGCGCAACGGTGCATGGACGGGGGCCTCCTCCTCTTCCTCCTCCGTCTTCTCCTCCCACCTACCCGATTTCGCTGCGATTTTTTTCTCATTATCCTGGACGGGCTCTCTTCTTCGTTTTCTACCACCGGCCAACACGTTTTCGTTCTTTTCCAATCCCACTTCGCGTCGTCCTCGCCCGCGCGGATGCCCGGCCGCTATCTTCCCACAAGGTACGGCGTACATGCCGAAGAAACGCGAGAATAAAATCCTTAATGCGTCTTGGACGATAGCCAGATTAATAGTGATCAGTGGTTATCGCGCGCGTCGCTTGTAAAAAATTCTTAAGTGAGGATAAAGAAGGAAGATAAAATATATGACTAATCGAATAATAAATAGATTTCACCCAAACTACATTGCAATCGATTATCAAATTATTATTAAATCAGCTATTAATGTAATAAATTATTAATACAATTAAAAAATATTTATTATATTTAAACACAAGATGAAAAAAGTTTAAGAATCATTTCCGCTTGTAATAAAGACATTGTATATATATTTAATTGCTCGCCTCAAGGTGTAACGAAAATTCGTCACGCCGGTTGTGTGTATTAATAGCGCGATTAGCGGCGCGGAAAAGGTGCGGATATGGAAGAAGCAACGGTGGCAGAGTGTCGGTTGTAACTTATCTCCGAATGCCCTGGAGGTGAATCAGGCAACTGTTAGATTTCACAACGTTATCGCGTTGCCCGCGCCGCGCAGCCGAAGCGTCAACGAGGTGTCGTTTACGCGGCATGCGATACAAGCATTCTCTCTTGCGCGTAAGAGAGAGAAGACCGAGGATTCGTCAAGAAAATTCGTCTATTTGCTTGGTCCTTGCGCTAATCGTCGCTTCCTTGGTTCACCGTAGCTCGTCCAGTCGGTTCCGCCGCTTTATCTCGTTTTCACGCATTACACACCGCGGCTCTTTGCGACG